TTAGTATTTTAAAACCAAAATACCTAAAAAAATTGAGTTATGGTTTGGGATCAACTCTTCTTACTTGAAAATAGGTTCCTCAGACCCGAGGATATTGTCTTAAGGGTTAAAGTTTTCTTGAGTATCACAAAGCATAAAACTTTAGATTAAAGAAAATTGAGAAATAAGAATGAAGTTGGAGAACCAAGATCTAAGGAACTTACTTGGATCTTAATGGAATAGACGTTTAAGCTCAAATCTAGAAGAGACTCAGGGTTTGGGAGAGTTTTCTCAGAGAAGAGAAGGTGAGAGAACAGAGAAAAAACAAGAAAGAAAAGTTATTTGGTAAGAAATGAACATTTTTAGGATTGCAGTTCCTTAAATACCCTTCCAAACTTGCGTATTCTTGCTTGAGTGAGCCCAACTTTCACCTGAGCGAGACCATCCTTGCCTGGACGAGAAAACTAGACAGTGAAACTATTCCATTTTCTACTATTCTTGCTTTAGCAAGAGGCATTCTCACTTGAGCGAAAGGTGTGAGAATAGGTCCAAAGAGCTCCCTGTTTTCCTGCAACTCCTCGCCTGAGTGAGTGATGTAACATATTTAATGTTTATATTTAATGTTTTATTTTTATTAATAAACACTTTTCATATGCTTTATTTTTATAGTTTTTACCATTTTTTACTTATTTGAATAAATTGGGCCTATTACAAATAAATGTTTTAATTTTGTATTTTCGGTTATTCTAATCTCTGACTACTCTTTTGGCCATAAATTTTTCTACAGATGTCATTTTTGGCTGATTCTAGTTGCATTGGATTTTACATATCCAGGGCTTCAAAATGCATACATGGATCACTAGATTTGGAGTTGTTTTTTATTTTTTATGATTTTTAAAGTTGAGCCAGATTTGCTGAATATTATTGCGGGATTGCATTTGAACCCTTGTTATTTAATACTTGTATTTAGGCTCTTAGATATTATTGAGGCCTGCATTTTGGCTACCTAATTTACCCTAATCATTTTGAACTCTCTCATTCTTTTCTCATTCTTGCATGGGTTAAGCATTTTGATAGAAGGCTAAACCTCTCGTTCAATCTGCAAAATCCAAATGTTGTAATTCCGGCTTGAGTTCTGCGCTAATTGCTCCGAGTTTGTTCTCTTTTTCTCTCTAATCTCATAATTGTTTATTGCGATTGTGATTGACTTTTCTATTGTTAAATTTCAAATTAGGACTCGATTGATGCTCTAATTTGATAATTAATGCAAATTAGGTTAAATAACTATTTGATTTAATTCGTAACTCTATTCAATTAGGTTATTCGATTGAATTAATAATTGAATTGGGTGATTGTTCAAACATGGATTTGAATCTTTAGATATTATGATAGTCGGAGTTACACATAATTGGTATTATGTGGATTGATCTTTCTTAATTCATTTTTACTCACTTAATTCTGTTTGTAATCTAATTTAATTAATTTATAATTTTTAAAACCCTAAAAAACCTTATTTCCATTTTTTTAAAACAAAACTTAAAATTAAATTTGACTGAGAATGTGTCTCTGTGAATTAACCTAAGTTTGACTCTATACTACAAAATCTTTAGAAAACTTAATTGTTTTGATAGCGACTTGGCAATCGTCTATCAATGAGACCCCTTCTTACTTAAGTGAGAGGATAATTGGGATAACTTTATCCTATCTCGCTTAAGCGAGAGTGTTCTAGAATGCATTCTTTCAAAAAATTCTATCTTGCTTGAGTGAGACGTATCTTGCTTGAGTAAGAAACCCTGCACCAAAATTCTTATATTTCATGCAAGGGCAACAAAATTGAGGATGTTAGAGTATGTGTACATTTGTTATGTCATGAAATAATGTCACATCACATTCAATCATGGTCAAACACTCTAACCAAGTCAAGTGTATTTCAAACCAATCTTCGTTCCACCATTGTCAATTGTATTTTAAAAAAATATAATCATGCAAACACCCATCATCCAATAACAAAAGTTAAATAACTCTTCCTTTAATTTTATGAAAGTATTCCCTCCCCTTACATTAGTTTGATGGGTGGACTTATCCTATTTCGTATTTTCTTCCAAATAGGCGTTGTCAGGAATCACACAACTTTGTGAGCTTTTAGTGTTTAGGAAGTCTTGGTGGAACAAAGTGTTTGGCTATTTAATGACTTATTGATACTAAAGTATATTTTCCCATATTAATTACCTTATTCCTTGACACTCTAGCATATTTCTTGACTTAGCTATTACCATTTAACCTTTGGCCTAATTGTCTAATTTCATGAAAATTTTCTAAAAAATATGTTCTTAAGTGAAGTTTCCTTATTCATTCAATTTGTCTTAACTTATTTATTTCAATTTTCCTCCTTCAATTCACATAAATCCTTGCAAATAATTTAGAAAATTGCAGCCTCATCAATTCAATAATTTCTCCCTTGATTTATAAAGTTAAGTAATCCTCAAGGATTTCATGAATCAAATCCTATTAATCCTTTTTAAATTTTAAAGATTTATATAATTTTGATCTAAACAAAATTTTTTGTTCTCAATTAATCTGCTAAAGAAAAAAAATTATCAAATTTGAAAATGTTACAATCCAAACATCAAAAACAAGAAATTATGGCCTAATTTAAATAAATTTGTCAATAAGTACTTGTAGAAGTTTTAAAATTAGTAGTAAAATCAACGAAACTTTTTTCATAAATTAAAATTAACTTATGCTTCTTTATTTTTAGGAATTTTCTCATTAAACTTTGGTAAAACTAAAATTATAATTATTTTTAACTTATGCAAAATTTTCATTCATTTTTCGTGTTGATTTTTTATAGTTATTATGGCTTCTAAACTTAAGAAAAAGGGTGAATTAGGTTTTAACAATTCTTTGCTTTTCAACACTTAACATCAATTAATCTTTTTAATTATAATGATTAATAGAAGAAATGTAATATTAGAAATATAAAATTGATGAATTAACGTGAGATGTGATACAATCTTCAATTAGAACATAGTTATGCAGCAAAATCAAACATATAAAAAGCTATTGGTAATGTAAAAACAGAAATTAAAAGAGATAGGGTTAAAGAAAATCACACAGACGATTTATAGTAGTTCACTCTCACCATTTGAGAGCTAAATCCACTTCCAAAATACCTTTGGGAGTTTCTTCACTATAACCAATGAATTCAATACACCAATTGCTTTAAGATTTCTCACTTAAAGACTTCAAATCAACAAAAACACCATTCTTACTTTACAAGCTCTTGAGATCCCTCACTTACAAAGACTCAAATTCTCAACAAGATACAAGAACACAGAAAGAGAATAGCAGTAGAAAAACTCAAAACCCTTTTACATGAATTAAAATCAGAACATAAATATTTCTCAAAAGATTATGATTAAATTGCTCTCATGAAAAGGTTTAATGTGAAAATTAAATGTTCTCAAAATACTTTTGTGTGTCTCAATTAGGTTTTTCTGTGACATTTTTATAGGATAGAACGAAACTTTTAACAAAAGTTCATCATATAAGAAAAAGTTGGTTGGTTGGTTTTAATAACAAAAGATAGTTAAGACAATGTAGCAGAGATACATGGTAATTGATGACTAATCTTAGTAATTAATTTTTGGATAATTCTGATTAAAAAAAATTGAATTTTCAACAAATAGACCATATTGTAATTAATTACTCAACTAGTATCGAATTACTAAATGGTCTTGTTTAAAAAGAATTGAATTTTTAACAAAAAGAACAAATTGGTTATCAATTATTTCAAGTAAAGAATTAGTTATAACTCTAACTTAATTAAATTTTTAAGTATGTAAACCTTCATCTTAAATTGAGTGAAATAAAGATTTTATTTTTATAAATTTTTAAGTGTGAGAGCAATTAAATCAACTCTCTTAAAGATTATCATACATACAAATCAAACTATAATATGCAAAATAAAAGTTTATATATGTAATAAAAGTTTATAGATCATGGTTTATATATAGATACGATGGATAGTAAAAACAAAAAGATGGGTTTTAGAAGATATCTTAGTAAACAAACATGGTTAACGTTCTTTTCCACTTCATTCACTTTTCTTCTCTCTTTTCGACAGTCTGGATACTAGAATCCGACATTTTTTTTAACTAACAAAACCTCTATTTATTTAGTGATTATTATTTAAAAGTGTAACAAAAAAATTAGAATTTATTGTCTAATCAATTCAATAATTTCTCCTTTGATCTATAAGGTCATTAATTCTCAAGAAATTCATGAATCAAATCCTATTAATCCTTTTTAAATTTTAAGGATATATATAATTCAAATCTGAAGAAAATTCTGTTCTCAATTTAATTTGCTAAAGAAAATAAATTAATAAATTTGATAATGCAAACATCAAAAACAAGAAATTATGGCCTAATTTAAATAAATTTTTTAATAAGTACTTGTAGAAGTTAAAAAATTAATAATAAAATTAATGAAACATGTTTTGTAATTTAAAATTAACTTATGCTTTTTTATTTTTGAAAAATTTCTCATTTAAATTGTATAAAACTAAAGTAATATAAATTATTTTTAACTTATAAAATTTTAACAAGAACTTATATAAAAATTTGTCTTGACCTGAATCGTGCCCTAAATCTTGGTTTATACGTAGATAAGGAAGATAGTAAAAGAAAAAGGGTTATAGAAGATAAACCTGGTTAACGATTTTCTTCCACTTTGTTCACCTTTCTTCTTCTCTCTCTTTGGCGGTTTGAACACTAGAATCCTACATGTTTTAACTAACAAAACCTCTACTTATTTAGTGATTATGGTTTAAGGAGTGTAACAAACACAACGACCCACAGGATAAAATAATGGAATCAATAATTCCAATGAACTTCTGTATTCAACATTTAGCAGTAGTTATTGCTACTGCATACAGAACAAAAGTCTAACATATAACTGTCACAAACAAAAAAGATGTTTCAACCAGATATAACTAATAAATTTCAAACATCCAAGTATCAAGGGCCAAAATTCTCTAAATCTTTTTCCCTTGGATGTACCACACATTCACTAAACATGTCTTTGAGTTTTTCATGCTGAACCATGTGATCAAGAACTGAATCCTCAAATGTTACAGGACAACTCTTAGGCTTATCATTTTCATTATTTCTATCTGAAAAAACCAGTTCAGATAACCGGTCCTTCTGTGCTTGTTTACAGTACTTTGTGCATTCAGTGGTGCCCTGTGCAAGGAGATGATAAGTGTAAACAACCTTCTTTTGGCCAAGTCTATAGGCTCGGCAAATAGCTTGCCTTTCCACTGAGGGGTTCCAAACGACATCAAGAAGCACAACCCTTGAAGCTCCAATTAAGTTAATGCCCTCAGAACATGCTTTTATAGATGCAAGCAAAATCTTTGCTTGGCTATTTGCATCATTGAAGTGATGAATGAGGAATTGCTTTTGCTTCTGGTCAAGCCTGCCATACATATACAACACTTCCTTCCCATCAGACCAATTAAAAGCGGACCCAAGTTGGTCTTTAATTAAGCATAAAGTATCAATGTATTGGCTGAAAACAATAATTTTCTCATTGTACGCATCACACAGTCTTACAAACTCCATCAAAAATTTGGTTTTGACTCCTCCATAAGGGTCCAATCTAAGTTTTTCCAGCTGATCCCCGTCAATAACAGATTCTTCTTTTTCTGTCAGAGAGCATTTGAGGAAAAGGGATGGATGGACTGAGACCAAAGCCAACTTGTGTTCAAAATTCAATATGTTCTGAGAACCTTCAATGCTCTCTAGAATTTCCTGCTGCAAACTGTCTGGCTTCAAAATCAGCACACAATCTCTCAACCCAGGAAGGTTCTTCTTAAGAATGCTACCTTTGTGAACATGAACAAACGGATCCATCAGAAATTTCAGCTGGTTTATTTTATGATCAGCAGGATTTGCAGAAGAAACTGGTTCCCAACTCACGTCTTTTGGTGCTTTCTTTTCATGCATTAGTCTACTCAGGCAAAATTTCTTTAGTTCTTGAGGTATGCTGTCAGGAAACGATGGTTTCATTAGGCACAGAATGTTATAGAGTTCCAGAAAATTGTTCTGGAAAGGAGTCCCCGAAAGAAGGATTCGCTTTTGAGTTCTACTTTCTGAGAGAACCTTCCAAATACAGCTACGCTGATTGCGAGGCGTGTGCCCTTCATCAAGAACCAACAAACCAGGATAGTCACGCAGAACCTTTCCCATTTCACTTTCAATGATCACCAGACTCCTTGCGCGTTTCTTTTCGGTTTGCATGTTCCCTCTTTTCTTCCCCTTTTTATCATCAACTTCAGACATGCCCCCTGCAAGCTTCTCATACAAATGATAGCTGATTAATAGAATACTCTTCTCTTTGTACCACGAACACAACTTCAACATGCGTATGGCATCCTTATTCTGCCTTAGACTTCTAGACCACTCAAGCTCTTTAGCAGCATCAACATTTTCTTTCCCTGATAATTCAGGATTGTTGAAGTTATGGAATGGGATTCCTATGTCCCACTTTCTCAACTCATCTTCCCAAGTAAGCAACAAGTTAGCAGGAGCAATGATAACTGGTAGGCATTTTGGAAACACTTGCAAATATGTCTGAAGAAACACCATGGTCAACCTTGTCTTTCCAGTTCCAGGAGCATGAGAAATAATGCAACCACCTTCACTACAAGGATCAACATTCTTCAACGTGCAGAGGTCAATGGTTCCTGCCAATCTAGTCCAAATAAACTCAAAGCCTTCTTGTTGATGAGGATACAAGCTCTCTTTAATGTCAGGAATAAGGTCCCAAACTGTGCCTTCATTGTGAGACCAAACTGCCTCTGAGTCACCACCAGAGTCATTAAACCGAACCCCATCAATGTGTGAGGTGTTCCCTCCACCAGATGACACCCTTTTACCTGATCCTTCAGAATGAAACTCGTCCACCTGTATTATGCACAATACAAACAAGGGCACACGTGTCAGTGCTTCCTATTAGTGTGTTTCATTAGGCATGCTAGATCCCACAATCAAATCAGAGCAAACATAAAATAGCAGTTTCTTATTTAAGCTCCATGGATCCCACAGCAGTCAATATCTGTTTTATTTTTTGCATAACAAAGAAAAGAACACATAAATACTTAATAACAATATTGATCATCATAGTTCAATAGATAATAAACTCACAAACGGTGGGGTGACATATTTGATCTCAGTGGCAACCCAAAGACACAATCTGCACAATATCCCAATCTGTTCATCAAGATAAAAGTCATGCTTACACAAGGAAACTTGATTTTCTCTTGCTTCATTTGTCCCTATACTGCCAACCTGCAAATCATAACATACAGAGTTAGTAACTGATTTCTTTCTCCTCTTATATAAAAAAAAAAATGTTTGAACATCCATCCATTCGTAAAGAATTCAGAATAGAGCTCAAATACTCAAAATCACATGCTACAGGTATTCATGAAGAATTCACTCATATGCCTATAATAAACTTCAAATTGAAATGTTTTTAATAGCTAATGACTGTAACTGAAAATGTATATATATTTTTTAATATTTTTCTTCATCCTTTTAGCTAGTAAAAGGAGATTTACCTGGGAATTGATTTCTTCAAGTCTAAGCAACATTTCCATTTCTTCCCACAACATATCCAGCTCCTTCTCAGACTCTGATTTTTCAATGGGTTCAACCTTCTTTAAGGTCCAATTCAAAGGGACTGTCTCTCTACAAGCTGGTGGCTGAGTCTCCTCACGCGGATCAACATCATCCTCCTTTTCTTTTAGCCCGTTTGAATCAACATCTTTTACCGAATCATGTTTGCCCCAAAAGCATTCAGCAAGCAGTTTAATTAAACGTTGCTCCTTCGTCCTAGATGACATCATGGGGACTACATGCTGCTTATCTTTGTAACCAGATTCATTATCCATCACCCTTACCTTCTTCTCACGATTATTACTGTCAAACCTATCTTTATGCTCCCATTCCTTCTTGTTCTCCTTCTTAACTTCAACTGAATCTTCTATCTTCTCTTGGTCTTTTGGAAAAGAAGCAACACTTCTCACACCTGTAACTTTGTCATGATCATGCTCTTTTCCTTCATGCGCATCAAGATTCACAGAGTTAATAGTATTGGCATTGGCATCGTTATTTTTCTCACTCTTCTTGTCTATAACTGACACACCTATCTTCTCTAGGTCTTTTCGCAAAGAAGCAACACTTCTCAAACCTGTAACTGTGTCACGATGATGCTTTTTTCCTTCACGTGCATCAAGATTAACCCAGTTACCAGTGCTGGCATTGGCACTGACATCATGATTTTTCTCACTCTTCATGACCATAGGTGAATCTCCTATCTTCTCTAGGACTACTGGCAAAGAAGAAACACTTCTCACACAAGTAACTTTGTCATGGTGATGCCCTTTTTCTTCATGTGCATCAAGATTCACACAGTTACTAAAGCTGGGGTTGGCATTTTCATTGGCATCATTGTTTTTCTCATTTTTCTTGACCATGGTTGAATCTCCTGTCTCTTTCGTCAGTGGTATACTTTGATGATCCCTATCTTGTTTTTCTTTATCCTTTAATGCTTCATCTTCAGAACGCATAGAGCAATCTGTATTTTTCATGTACTCACCAAAGACTTTGACATCAGAAATGAAATTTTCTACTGGTTTTTCTCCTCTATTTGCTTCATGTTTCTCTGCTGCATTCTTTGCTTCCTCCTCATGAATCTCAGATTCACTACTGGTCACACTGGCACAATCTACACTAATCCATTGATCGTGATCTTGTTCACCAGAGTCATTGTCGTTTATAAATGTTGGAGTCCTTTCACGCTCCTCCTCCTTTATCTGTGTAACTTTCCTTTCACCTTTTTTAATGAAAACTTCATTGATTTCACTCGCCACCTTTCTCACCTGCTCCTTCACCATCTTGCTATACGTCCCCTGCACGCTCTCCCTCTCATCGTCATCAGAAGAGGTATCACTCTGTTCACTGCTTGAGTATTCACTCACAACATCAGCTTCAAAATCCTCATCACTGGTCTCCATATCCTCACTCTCCGTTGAAGACAAAAGATCATCGTATTCATCATATGAACCACTTTCACCCACGCCATGTTCTTTCTCACTCTCACCATCCCCATCTGAATCAATAGTAATTATAGCCGGATATTCAGGTCCACCACAACCAGTGTCACTATGGCCAAAGTTTTCAACTTTATCGCCAAATACATAATCCTCTTTCCCTTCTTCACTCTTCTCTTCCTCTTTAACACCAACAACAACATTAACCTCAAACATCTTCTCAGAATGCCTCAACCCCTCTTCAGTGTCATTACCATTATCACTATCATCGATTTTAATCATCTCACAAGATTCTTCATCATCACATTCTTCCAAACATACAATATCTGGTTCAGCTACCTTTTTACCCTTCAAAGCACCAGATAATGAAGGTGCAGCTCTAGACCCAGATTCAATCTTCCCACTTGCACCCTCTTCAAGCAAGTTTTCTCCCAAGCAAACCACGTCATCTCCATCTATCCTTTTCTTCATTCTCCTCCTCTTCCTCTTCTCAGCCATTACACCACTCTTGACACTCATTCTCCGCTTAGTCGAGGATGATCCAGTGTTTGAAACATTCAACAGGTTTAAAAATTTCTTGCTACGGGTTCTGCTAGATACAGGAACCAAACGATCCATGTCAAGAAACAAAGCTAAAATCAATAAAAGAACAGTTTTTTTTTTCTTTTTTTCTTTTTTTCTTTTTCCTTTTCAACTTTACAACGAAACAGAAAGCTTTGTTCTCTGAAATACTGCGACAGAACAAGCAGAGAGAAAAGAATTGTAAGTAAAAAGAACAAGGAGAAGAGAAGACCGGAAGCGTGACAAAGTAGAGAAAGAAAAACGGAGAAGAGAAGGAGAAAAACAATGCAGTTGGTATTACGTGCCAGATAAGAATGCAAATCGACCCTTTAACACCCTATTTTCATGTAAAAAAATCAGTGTAAAGAAAGAATCGAGAGGTCAAAAGGTCAAAGGATTTTGTCGCTGGGGAGAACTGTAAAGATACCCTTTTACCTGCACCTAAAGAGTAAATGTATATATGGAAACTTCCTTTTATATGTATGTAAAGAGACTTTTTAATGGTTATTCAATACTCATAAAACACTGTAAATACAAATAAAAACTTTTATTAAAACTTAAAAGAGAGCATGTTTTGGATGTTTTTATTATTTTTAATTAAAATAATATTTTTAATAGTTTAATGATAAATTTCCACTTTAAAAGTTTATAGTGATGGTTAAAGAAAAATAATAGATAGATTAAAAAGAATGCTTTTATATTGTGTGCATCCATATTATCAATGCTTAATTGGAAACGTAGGAGGTCAGGTCCTAACCGCTACGATTGTTTCCATTTTTGTTACAAAGATTATTAAAGGTTTGACTGAAGCAATTTATTATGTGTTTATAGTGAAAGTGTTTCGAAAGTGGAGACACTCAGCTTCAGTGACATAAATCACGTTTAATTTACTTTCCTAGGAAGCCAAAAAAAAATAATAACGACACGCTTAAGAATGGATTAATTTTGATATTTTGTAAAATAATTTTATCCTTTTATTCTTATAATAAATATTAAATAGATATTACATATTTAATATTTATAAAGAAAAGATAAACATAAATTTTCAATATAATCCAATATTTTTTAGTAGATATACTCATGTATTATACAAGTTTGTTTATACTTTTTTATAAATTATTTTGTTTTAAAATAAATATAAATAATTATAATTATAATTTAAGAATAAAAATATATGATAATAAAATTTTATTAAGTTAAATAATATTAAATATAATTACATCAAGTAAGATTATACAATAACTTTTTATATACAACATTTTTTTTATATTTTTCATCCTTCTCATAAATAAATATTTTATTTTATTTTATTTAATATTACTCTAAACAATGAAACATACAGCTAATTATGATAAAATATAGGTTTTGAAAATTATAATTTAATAATTATTTTTGAATTTTGTTTTCATTGCATAATATATTTTTATTAAAAATTATTTTTTTTTCAAAAAAATATCACTTAGAATTACTTGAAGTTAAAATTATTCACGAAATAAGTATTTTAACACTAATATTATTTTTTGTAATTAATTTTTTTATTATTTTTTTCTCTTACATGCATGTTAAGGAGTATTATTCATTTGTATATTTATAATACAAAATTAATATTCTTAAGTAGCATGATTGACATTCTTTCTTGAATTGCAAGTAATAATAGAAAAATTCATTAAAATTTAAGCCATTAAAAAATTCAATTGTATACATAAGTTCTTTTTTAGTGATTTTATCAATTGTTTTGTAATCTTGTTAGAAATTTTATAGTGTTTCATTAGCCCTTCAATTATATATATTAATTATTAATATGATCAATGATGTTATTAAAAGGAGTAAGTATGATTTTTTTTGAAGATATTTTTTATCTTGAATTTGTTGTTAAAAAATTAGATAAATACTTTTAACAATTTGTTAGAGTAAAACCCTAATTAACTAAAGTAGATATTGGCTTGAAATTCTTAATCTCAAAGGAATGTCTCTATACTTTTTACTAATTGTTATTCTCTAACTTATACGAGTCATTTATTAAATTTAATTTATGTGGCAAGGAATTTGTCAAACTTGAAAAGATATTGATAGTTCTTGTACTTTTAGATAATACATAAATTTTACAATGACTTCATAAATAAAATTTATTAATGCATGCTTAAATTATGTTTTTTCTTTGTCCTTTTAATAACATGTACAAGTAATATTTGTCTAAAATCTCTTCTAAAAAGTATGTGTTGTCATTTTGAGAGAATTTTAATGTATTACCAAAATATTTATGACCAATAATATCTTTAAGGAATTTATCAAGAGTCTCAATAATTAATCTATTTATCTCATCCCAAACAATTAGATATGCTTGAATTATTAATATGGCAAATTGAGTGTTAAAAATATTTATAATATGTAAAATTTAAAAATATAAATAAATAAGATATAAATAGAATTCTATATATAATAATGTATTAAAATGTGAAAAAAAATAATCTTTTAAAACACATTTTTATAATTTTTTATGACAAATGAAAAAATAATTTTAATGCTGCTAATATTAAAATTTAGTATTTATTATCATTCCATTAGCATGTATAATATTAATAAAATAAATAGTTTTTATCATCTTATTTTATTTAATATATGAAAGATTTATAAGTTTTATAAATAATGTATTTTTGGAAGTATTAATAGTAAATTCAAATTATATTACTATAATGAAATACATAATTTTATTTTACATTTTTATATTTTTAATTTTAAAATAAAAATTAAATATTATATATGTAAGTATAAAAGTTAGTAAAAGTATCCACTCAATATTATTAAAAAATTTATTGTAATTACAAAAATATTAAATATTAAAAGTATATAATTGAATGTGAGCGTTAAGTATCTGACAATGCAACTGTAGATACTATTCAATGTAAAAAAACAATTGTCATTATAATTATTTATCTAAAAACTATTTCATTATAGATATAAAATTTTCAAAAATTAGTTCTCAATTATGGCTATTATTTTATCTATAATTTTATACCTTTTATCTCTATTTTATTATAATATAATAAATGTATTATAATGTATTTTATGCTATATTATATAAAATTATTGAAATTTATTTTTTGTTTTTATAATTTTTTTGCTTTAGTTAGTATAAAATATTTAAAATTAATTTATATTATTATTCAATTTTAATTAATCGTTAATTTGGCTATAAAAGTTGCACCTGATATTGTTTTAAAAGATTAAATTTTTTTTTTCTACATAAAATTATTAAAATTCACTTTAACTCCTTGCAAAAAAAAATTATGTTTGAGTCTCTACATAATTTAAATATGATAATATATAATAAATATATAAAGGAATAAAATATAAAAAAATAAAAATAATAAATTTTAAAATAAAATTAAAAAAACATGTTGTCGAACAAGTTTAAGTAAAAAAACTACACATAAATGTAAATTTTTAATTATTTATTTAATCAATTTAAATTAAAGGGCTATACTAAAAGTTAAAATTTTATAATTATTTAAATTAATGTTTATTTGAAATCACTGTTATATAAGTTTAAAGATATTAATATATTATTACATTTAATTCTAGTATTCTTAAAATTTTATATAGGAGTTTAAAATTCTTTTTTTAATTTTTCCTATATCTATCAGTTATTATTTTAATTTATAAAAATTATGAAAAAAAATTGGATATTAAAAAAATATTTGTTTAACTAAACATGCATTAAATTTTAAGAATAAAATTATAAAAATATAATTATTTATTAACTTTATAAAATAAAAAATATTAAATTATAACTTACAATATATATATATATATACACACATATATATAGAAGTTAATAATGACTTTTATATATCATATAATAACAATGATTTTTTTTAATTTTAAAAAATGTTTTGGAGATCAAGATACTTTGAAAGAGTAATAATACAATGAGAAAAATGTGATAAATATAAGAACAATTGAGTATAATAAGATGATAATTAAATATAAGAGCAACGTCAGTAATACACTTTAAATTTATTAATAAAATTTATTAAAAATTACAAAAATATGATGTCTCACTTATTCTTACTTTTAAATTAATATTTTAATCTCATACTTTTATAATTTTCAAGAAAGTTTAACTAATAATGTGTTATTAGAGAAAGATTATAAGCAAATGTGTTACTAGCATTTCTTGTAAGTATAAATATTGCTCGAAACACAAATAGTGTATACATTCTATTTGTATTCAAATAAATCATGCTTTTTTTTAATATATGATAAATTGATATTATATATAAAATCATATCTGATTTCTTTTTTATTTTTATTAAAGATATATCTTAATAATATTTTTTAAATTTTAAAAATATATTTTAATATTATATATAGTGAATATTTTATGTTGTAATTAAGTAGAAACTACAATAATTTTTTATCTAGACTAAAAAATGAATTTCGATCATTTTGTAAGAATTAAAAATATATTTAACCTTCTTTTTTAACATTACAATGACGTGAAACTTATTTAATCAAATTAACAATTAACATAATATGAGTAATAAGAGAAACTAATTCTGAACATTTTATATTAATTAGGGACTAAAATAAGAAATATTATACTATAAAATATATTAAAAAGTTATTTGGTATCATCTTGGAAAATAATTCAAATTTCTCTGACAAATATTTTTGTGTAAAATTTCATGTACTTGAATAGCTGTTACTTGGAGTGCTACGTATAAATTATTATTGTCAAAGCTAAAATTACTACTATTCAAGAAAAAATGGTACTTTGTTTAAAAGTGTTTATCAACTTTAAAATTTTTATATAATTAATATTTCATGTAATCACTAAAGTCCTTTCAATTATAGACTCAAATAAATAAAATATCATATTACGAAACATATATCTAAAATGTAAAATTTCTGCTTTAATAAGTTTCTTCTTATAAATCAAAATTAATTTCTTGTTGTGTTAAAGTTTAAATTTATACAGTGAGATAACAAAATAGTTTTCATTCAAATAAATGAAATGATAGTCATTACTTAATAAATTGAAAAAGTTATTAAAG